TGATTGAGTCAAAGTTACCAAATCCCTCTCCAAAGAACCTGGATTATTCCCTCAGATGCGAATCTAATTCTGATGCTCCGGGGCACGACACAGAAAAGTGTTGGCATTTGAAGAGCGCCATCCAAGAGCTTATCGATACAAATCAAATTGTGGTCCAGAGCTCGGAAGCTCCAAACATCAATCAAAATCCATTGCCAGCCCATGCTGAAACACACATGATTGAGATAGTGGATAAGGATGGCGAACCCCGAGAAGCCTTCGAAGTCTGTCATGATGATCCGTGCCAGTGAAAGTAATTCAGTCAAAACTCCAGTTGTTACAAATGCAACATCCTCGACAGCTGAAGGGCTGACGGACAAGCTAAGCCCACCCAATGTTAAGCCACCTGTATTAGTCGTGAAAGGGTTCCCAGACGATGTTGAAGCAAAGCAAGGAAAGCCTAAAGTGGTCGTGCCGGGGGTAGCAAGTAAGCCTGTCATAATCGTGGACGGGGCTCGCATTGCCCCTGTTATTATTAAACTAGTGACCCAGCTGCCGATAGATAACACCAAGGTTGTTCCATGGAATTGCAAGCAAGTGATAGTAACTTATAAAGGGAAAGAAGTGGAAGAGGAAGTTAATGAAACCCGGGGGTTGACTCGTTCGGGAGATGCTTTACCCCAGAGGAATTAAGGAAAGCTAAGCCGTTCAAAGATAACCCAATCCCGTTAAAGAAGCCAGTTACCGAAGAGGAGGCGGAAGAATTCTTGAGAAAAATGAAGGTGTTTGACTACTCTATCGTGGAACAGTTAAGGAAGACACTCGCTGAAATTTCTCTTCTATCATTGTTGATACATTCAGACGAGCACCGCCAGGCCCTCATGAAGATTTTGAATGAGGCTCATGTCCCTGATAAGATCAGAGTGAACCATTTGGAGAAGATTTCCTACAAGATATTCGAGGCAAACAGGATCACTTTCTCGGATGACAAGCTTCCCTTAGAGGGTACAAAACACAATCGAGCTCTTTATCTCACAGTGAAATGTGAGGATTCTTTGGTCTCGAGGGTACTAGTTGATAATGGTTCCAGTGCAAATATTTGTCCTCTCTCCACTCTGCAAAAGTTGAAAATTGATATTGAAAAGATTTACAAGAACACTATATGTGTTCGAGGTTTTGACGGAGGGGGAAAAGATTCTGTTGGCGATATCGTGCTCGAACTGACAATAGGACCAGTTGAATTTACTATGGAGTTCCAGGTATTAGATGTGGCCGTCTCCTATAATTTGCTGTTGGGCAGGCCCTGGATACATGTTGCCAAGGCAGTCCCGTCTTCCCTGCACCAAATGGTAAAGTTTGAGTGGGAGGGACAGGAAATCGTCGTGCATGGTGACGAGAACTTATGTGCTTACAATGATACATCTGTCCCGTTTATTGAAGCCGAAGATGATAAAGGGCCTTGGGTCTACCAAGCTTTCGAAACAGTGTCAGTTGAGAAGATTCCGGAGGAGGAGTGCATTCCAAGTCCAAAGTTAGCCTCCACATCCGTCATGGTAGCAACTGAAATGCTGAAGAACGGTTTTGTGCCGGGAAAAGGTCCGGGCACATCTTTACAAGGTATCGTGCAGCCAATGTCTCTACATGAAATTCTGGGTACGTTTGGTCTGGGATTCAAGCCCACAAGGGACGAGGTGAAGAGGGCTAAAAGGTTTAAGAAGAAGGCATGGTCACTCCCTAAGCCTATCCCACGCCTCTCCAGGTCCTTCGCCAAGCCAAGGGTCGTGAAACGCCAGTGTCAACAGTCCCAAAGCCTGTGGTTGACTTTGATGAAGAGCTGATTGAAAGGTTCCAGAGTCTATTTGATGAGGTGAAGATGATGGAAATTGGGGAAGGTTCCAGCAAAGCAGATGTGCAGTTTATTGGGCCAAAAGTGAAGCTTAACAATTGGAAGGCTACTCATCTCCCTACTCGGAAGGAGTTTTGGTAGTTTGCTTTGTTTTCCTTTCTGTTATCTGGATTATTCCAGGGTTGTAATCCAGATTTTTATTTTTCGCTTCTTTTGATGTACAAACCCTTCTATCCTTTATTTTCAATGAAATGCAATTTCCCTTTTTCCATTACTCCTGATAGTGTCATTTTTGTCTTTCTTTGTATAGTTATTTTTATGCCGGTTTTAATGACATGACATGCATGAGGAATTTTCGGCCAAGTCTTAAAAGCCAATTTAACTCTAAAATAATAATCCAAGAAGTAGAGCACGATGATGAAACATGATATGATGAAGAAGCGGCATTTGAGGAAATTAGTAAAGAACTAAATCATTTTGAAGAGAAACCTAAGCCTAATTTGAATGAAGCTGAAGCAATCAATTTAGGAGATCCAGATAATATCAGGGAAACCAAGATAAGTGTACACGTGGAACCACAAATCAAGGAAGAAACAATCAAAGCACTGTTTGAATATAAAGATATTTTCGCATGGTCATATGACGACATGCCAGGTTTGAGTACTGACTTGGTAATCCACAAATTGCCAACTGATCCGCCATTCCCTCCTGTCAAGTAGAAGCTAAGGAAGTTCAAGACTGGCATGAGTGTGAAGATCAAGGAAGAAATCACAAAACAGCTGGATGTAAAGGTCATTCGAGTCACGCGATACCCCACTTAGTTAGCCAATGTGGTGCCAGTACCAAAGAAGGATGGTAAGACCAGGGTGTGCGTTGATTACCGCGACCTCAACAAAGCAAGTCCAAAGGATAACTTCCCATTGACAAATATCCACATCTTGATTGATAAATGTGCCAAGCATGAGATCGGGTCTTTTGTGGATTGCTATGAAGGATATCACCAGACCTTGATGGATGAGGAAGATGCAGAAAAGACAGTGTTCATCACGCCATGGGGAACATATTGCTACCGGGTAATGCCATTTGGTTTGAAAAACGCTGGGGCAACTTACATGAGGGAAATGACTACCGTATTTTATGACATGATACACAAAGAGATTGAGGTGTATGTAGATTATGTGATCATAAAGTCAAGGAAGCAGTCCGACCATGTAGAGGACTTGAGAATGTTTTTCCAGAGGCTCCGCAGGTATAACCTTAAGCTCAACCCTGCAAAATATGCATTTGGTGTCCCGTCTGGAAAACTGTTGGGATTCATAGTCAGTCGGAGAGGTATTGAGTTGGATCCGTCAAAGATCAAAGCCATCCAAGAATTGCCGCCGCCGAAGAATAAGACTGAGGTGATGAGTTTGCTCGGGTGATTAAACTACATCAGCAGGTTTATTGCTGAACTCACAACAACTTGTGAGCCCATCTTTAAGTTGTTGAAGAAGGATGCCGCGGTCAAATAGACTGATGAGTGTCAGGAGGCATTCGACAAGATCAAGAGGTACCTGTCAAACCCACCTGTGCTAGTCCCGCCGGAGCTTGGGAGACCTTTAATTCTTTATTGATAGTCCTGGATAATTCGTTTAGTTGTGTGTTGGGCCAACACGACATCATTGGCAAGAAGGAGCAGGCCATTTATTATGTCAGCAAGAAGTTCAGTTCTTATGAGGTCAAGTATACTCTCCTTGAAAGGACATGTTGCGCCTTGACTTGGGTGGCACAAAAGTTGAAGCATTATCTGTCTCCCTACACTACTTACCTCATTTCTCGCATGGATCCTCTAAAGTATATCTTTCATAAGTCTATGCCCACCGGAAGACTTGTGAAGTGGCAGATTTTACTCACAGAATTTGACATCATCTATGTGACTCAAACTGCGATGAAAGCCCAAGCTTTGGCCGATCATTTGGCCGAGAACCTGATGGATGAAGAGTATGAGCCATTGAGGACTTATTTTCCTGATAAAGAAGTGATGCATATTGACGAGGTTGAGCAGGATGAAAAACCGGGTTGGAAACTTTTCTTTGATGGAGCCGCTAACATGAAAGGTGTTAGAATAGGGGATGTGCTCATTTCTGAAACACCCTGTAACAACCCAGCTTTGTTTCTATTGTACCAACAATATGGCTGAATATGAGGCGTGCATTCTAGGTTTGAGGTTAGCTGTAGACATGAGAGTTCAGGAAGTATTGGTTTTGGGAGATTCGGATCTGTTGGTGCACCAGATTCAGGGAGAATTGGAGACTCAGGATTTGAAGCTCATACCGTATCGACAATGTCTGCATGATCTTTGTTAACGATTCAGATCAATAAAATTCAGTCATATTCCTAGGATCCATAATGAGGTTGCCGATGCTTTGGCTACTCTAGCGTCAATGTTACATCATCCGGATAAGGCTTATGTCGACCCTCTGCATATTCAAGTTCGTGATCAGCATGCCTATTGTAACGTGGTCGAGGAGGAACTTGATGGTGAACCTTGGTTCCATGATATCCGGGAATACATCAAGTTGGGGGTGTATCTGGTACAGGCCACAGGTGATCAAAAGAGAACCATTCGACGTCTGGCTAGTGGATTTTTCTTGAGCGGGGGAATTTTGTACAAAAGAACTCCAGATCTTGGACTGCTGAGGTGCATAGATGCTAAACAAGCTTCGACCATCATGGCCGAAGTGCATTCCGGAGTTTGCGGGCCGCACATGAGCGGATATGTTTTGGCAAAGAAAATTCTTTGAGCAGGTTATTATTGGCTCACCATGGAACGGTATTGCATCATCTTTGTACGCAAATGTCATCAATGCCAGGTGCACGGTGATCTGATTCATTCCCGCCATCTGAATTGCACACAATGTCCGCACCTTGGCCCTTTGTTGCTTGGGGCATGGATGTTATTGGACCAATTAAGCCGGCAGCATCAAATGGGCATAGGTTTATTCTAGTGGCCATCTACTGTTTCACCAAGTGGGTTGAAGCTGTAACTTTCAAATTTGTGACCAAGAAGGCAGTGGTGGATTTTATCCATTCAAATCTCATTTGCTGGTTTGAAATCCCCAAGGTAATCATCACGGATAATGCTGATAATCTCAACACCCATCTGATGAAAGAGGTATGCCAACAGTTCAAGATTATGCATCGAAATTCCGCTCTGTATTGCCCCAAGGCAAATGGAGCTGTTGAGGCGGCTAACAGGAACATAAAAAAGATACTTCGTAAGATGGTGCAAGGTTCTAGGCAATGGCATGAAAAGTTGACTTTTGCTATGCTAGGTTATCGCACTACTGTTCGCACTTCAGTAGGTGCTACTCCTTATTTGCTGGTATATGGGACTAAAGCAGTTATACCCGCGGAAGTCAAGATTCCATCCCTTCGAATTGTCGCTGAAGCTGAAACTAATGATGATGAGTGGGTCAAAACTCGATTGGAGCAGTTGAGTTTGATTGATGAGAAAAGATTGGCGGAAGTATGTCATGGTCAATTGTATCAGAAGAGAATGGAAAGAGCGTACAACAAGAAGGTGCATCCCCTAAAATTTGAAGTGGGCCAGCAAATATTGAAACGCATCCTTCCGCATCAGGATGAAGCTAAAGGCAAGTTTGCCCCAAACTGGCAGGGGCCGTTCATCGTAAACGAGAGTGTTGTCCAATGGTGCTTTGTATTTAACAGATATAGAAGGCAAATATGTAGATATGGCTGTCAATTCTGATGCAGTCAAGAGATATTATGTATGATTTATTTGGTTTGTCTTCAATTGCGTTATTTGTGTTTGGCATGTTTCAAAGATTGGAATGACGAAGGCATTCTGTTCAGCTATCTAAACACTGTTATCATTGGTTACCCCTTTTGAGCCTTATTTATTTCTTTCATACCCCTCTTTTGGAATCCGAAGTAGAGTTTAGAAATAGAAAAAAAAGAAAAGAAAAGAAAAAAAGAGAAAAGAGAAAAGAAAAAAAAGAAAAAAAAGAGAAGAAGGTAAAAGTAAAGCAAAAGAAAGAAAAAAAAGAGAAGAAGAAAAAGAAAGCAAAAGAAAAGTAACAAAAACAAAGCAACTCTTATGTCTTGAACTACGTTAGACCTGATTTCTTTTAAGGATACGTAGGCAGCCCTAAGGTTCGGTCCCGTCAAAATAAAAATCCAAAATTCCCCCAGACTCAAAGAAACTGGGGCAAAAGTTGTGGTTTTGTAAAAGATCTGATTCCAAAAGTTGTAATTTTGTACCCTTTCATTCTAAACTGTTTTGAGCCTGCATACCACCTTTTCTTTCTAACCCCATCCAAAAGCCCGCACCCCAGTCCAAAGAAAGACCTTCTGATCAATCCTTAGGGGATGCCAAGTCAAGCGAGATAGATGTATGATTCGCATCATGGGTAGCACTCTGTTCATGCACAAGGAAAATGAATAAATGAGAGAGTCTTATTGGTGAAAACCCTCGCGGGCACCGTAAGGCGACAGTGAGTTGAGAGATGAATAAATGAGAGAGTCTTATTGCTAAAAACCCTCACGCGCACTGTAAGGCGATTGAAAGCTGAGAGAAAAATTAAAATAAGAGAGTCTTATTGGTGAAAACCCTCACGGGCACCGTAAGGCGATGGTAAGTTGAGAGATGAACAGATGAGAGAGGTTTGTTGGTGAAAACCCTTCAAGGCACTACAAGCCGAATGAGGCTCGTGAATTTGCAGAGAGATTGGATTATGGAAATCCCGGTTTTGAAGTATGAAGATGGAGCATGAATTGAAATATGATTAGGCGAATGGTCTGGGCTGATTAATCCGAAATGCAAGTCATGATCATTGGAGCCAGCCGTTTCACTCAGATATGTCTCTTTTCCATTTAGTCATCTTTGTTCAAAATTTTCCACTTTAGTTCTAATTCTCAAAATCACTTCGCTTCATTTTTCTTTTGGGGTCTACTTCTCTAAGTCTTTTTCAATGTTAGCCTTGTTAAGCAAGAAAGAAAGGATTCCAAAGCCTATTACCGACTTTCAATTGCACAAAGCAAAGTTCGGCCAGAACACATCACAAATGGCATGATTCAGAATGAGCAATAAGGTGTTAATGGGAGTTCAAGTGGTTAAGTGATTCGTGAATTTTGAGGAAATATAAAGGTTCAAAATTGGAAGGACAGAGATGTCAAACAACAAGTTGAGTGTAAGTTACTCGGGTCATTCGGGGTTTTATGGTTGAGGTTCGATCAGAGGGTCAAACAATTATTTGCTAGCCTGAAGTAGCTAATCAGAATGAAGCATGTCAATGGCAGAAGTAGATACTCAGCAGTGATGCCACAAACTAACCACCACGTTTTCAAACTAACAAGATTTTATTTGTCTGAAACACGAGCAAGAAATTTGTTCAATCTGCAGGGACCCTACCATGAAGAAAGCATGGCTCAGAGGCAAGAAATTCTGTTTAGGATCCTCCAGGAAGAGAGCATGGCTCAGATAAGTTCATTCTCGGCTGTTCAGGACCCTCCTGAATAATGGGATTAAGTTTTAAAGCTTTCAGGACCCTCCTGAATAATGAGATTTAGTTTTAAAGTCTTCAGGAGCCTCCAGAATAATGGGATTTAGTTTTAAAGTTTTCAGGGCCCCCTGAATAATGGGATTTAGTTTTAAAGTTTTCAGGACCCTCCTGGATAATGAGATTTAGTTTTAAAGTTTTCAGGACCCTCTTGGATAATGGGATTTAGTTTCAAGTCTCCAGGACCCTCCTGAATAATGGGATTTAGTTTTAAAGTTTCAGGACCCTCATGAATAATGGGATTTAGTTTTAAAGTTCTCAGGACCCTCCTGAATAATGGGATATAGTTTTAAGCTCTCAGGACCCTCCTGGATAATGGAATTTAGTTTTAAGTTTACAGGACCCTCCTGGATAATGGGATTTAGTTTTATGTTTTCAGGACCCTCCTGAATAATGGGATTTAGTTTTAAAGTCTTCAGGACCCTCCTGAATAATGGGATTTAGTTTTAAAGTTTTCAGGACCCTCTTAAATAATGGGATTTAGATTTAAAGTTTTTAGGACCCTCCTGGATAATAGGATTTAGTTTTAAAGTTTTTCAGGACCCTCCTGAATAATGGAATTTAGTTTTGAAGTCTTCAGGACCCTCCTGAATAATGAGATTTAGTTTTAAGTTTTCAGGACCCTCCTGGATAATGGGATTTAGTTTTAAAGTTTTCAGGACCCTCCTGGATAATGAGATTTAGTTTCAAGTCTTCAAGACCCTCATGAATAATGGGAATTAGTTTTAAAGTTTTCAGGACCCTCCTGAATAATGGGATTTAGTTTGAAAGTCTTCAGGACCTTCCTAAATAATGGGATTTAGTTTTAAAGTTTTCAGGACCCTCCTGAATAATGGGATTTAGTTTTAAAGTTTTCAGGACCCTCCTAGATAATGAGATTTAGTTTTAAGTTCTTAGGACCCTCATGGATAATGGAATTTAGTTTTAAGTTCTCAGGACCCTCCTGGATAATGGAATATAGTTTTAAAGTTCTCAGGACCCTCCTGGATAATGGGATTTAGTTTTAAGTTTTCAGGACCCTCCTGGATAATGGAATTTAGTTTTAAGTTTTCAGGACCCTCTTGAATAATGGGGTTTAGTTTATGTTTTCAGGACCCTAGATAATGGGATTTAGCTTAAGTTTCAGGACCCTCCTGGGTAATGTGATTTAGTTTAAGTTTCAGGACCCTCCTGGATAATGGGATTTAGTTTAAGTTTCAGGATCCCCATGGATAATGGGATTTAGGTTTTCAAATTGTCGGGACCCTCCTTGATAATGGGATACAGTTTCAAGCTCTCAGGATCCTCCTGGATAATGGGATTCATCTTTTAAATTCTGAGAGATCTTTTGGTTAACAGGATCCAATTAACACTTACAGGTGTTCTCAGTACCAAACTGGGGCAGAAAAGTTTCTTTTGTTTATCTGTTTTGTCATAGTAGCAGGCATCCACCTGGAGAACGAGGGAATTCATTTCAAGTATTAAGTCAAGTAGCAGGCACCCACCTGGAGAACGAGGGAATTCATGTAATAGTTAAATTCAGAGTCCAAGACAACAACAGGAACCCGCCTGAAGAATGTGTCAATTCAAGTCAGAAATAACAGAAGCTCGCCTCAAGTGAGCGAGTCAACAATTCAAGATGCGCGGCAGAACTGCAAAAGTTGCAAGATCAAATTTGAATACATATAGATAGGACTCTTGTGGCTCATAGCTGATAGACTTACCTAGCTTCTTTTCATTTTGATTTCGGTGTAATAAGGAGTTCAGCAAGCAGTAACAACAGCAGTGAAATCACAGCTTATCGGTAGTCCCAGCTACCAAAACTTCTAGAACTACAATGACCTGATTCCTATATAGCCAAGGATATGTAGGAAACCTCGGAGGCAATGTTTGGTCAAACTTTTCAAAGTGCTTCCCATGGAGTATCCAAACGGGCAAAAATCGCTTGTATTTGCTTACTTTATCTTTGCCCGAAAACTCTTCGTGTTTTCGAGCAAAGAGGGGCAGCTGTGAGCACTTGATTTTTGTCCGACCAAAATACTCCTACAAAATCATAAAATAGAGGTTTTCTAATTTATTTTTTATTTTTATGGAATTTTTAGAAATATCTGCTTAATTTTCCGCATGTTAGTTGCATTTTAATATTTTTTTTTAAAAGCATAGAAATACCCCAAAAAATATTCAAGTTTCATGCATTGCATTTTCAGGTTGATATTTGCATTCTAGATTTAAGTTGTTAATTAATTGCATTAATAGACAAAAATTAAAAAATATATAGATTATTCCACATTTTAGCTTTAGTTTTAATTGCACATTAGTTATTTCTCTTTCATTAGTTTCTAGTTAGTTAATTATTTTAATATTTAGAAATAGACAATTATTTTAATTTTACATATTGGGTTTTATTTAGAACTTAGTTTAGGTTTTTAATTAATTGTATAGGATTTAAAAGTCAAGAAAAAGAGAAAAAAAGAGGGTTATCTCGAACTTTTGAGCTAGATTCCCATGGCCCAATTGTTTTCTTTCCAAATCCGCCCCAGCCTAGTTTCACCATACCCGGTCCAGGCCCACCCCTTATTAAAACGACGTCGTTTTGTCCAATTGAATCCCAACCGTTGATCTTCGATGATCCAACGACCGGGAACTAGCTTCCCCCATCCCATATATATGTCCGAACCCCCCTCCTAACACCCTAAACCTCACAGACCCTTCCCATTTCCCCCTCCGTCCCAGTACACAAACCCTAGCCGCCCTCAATCTCCATTTCATCACCACCAGCTGCCGCCCGCCGGAAATCGCCCCACGGCGGCGGCCTGTCACCAAAGAACCCCAAATTCACCCTCCACACTCCCCACAACCCCTTGAATACTAATCCATCACCAGTTTCCTCCAAATCACCACCCTATTCCGTTAATTTCAAATCTGGAAATTCAAACCCAAAACCCTAGGTCGCCCAAACAACCCCAAAATTACACCCCACACTCCTCACACGCCCTTAAACCTTAGTACATTATTGATTTCCCAAAATCCCCACCATTATTTCATTTATTCCGGATCCAAGATTGAAACCCTAGATTCGTTTCTGTCTCTGATTGGGCATGCAAATCTGGTCCATTTGAACCCAAGACCTACATCAATCGATCACTCTTGATGAGAGAAATCGATTGATGTTAGTCTCAGTGCATTTCACCCCCACCAAGTTCAATCCGAGTTTGAACCTGTTTAGGATGGTATTTCCTTTTCTTTCTGTTGTTGCTCTTCTTTCTTTTGTCTTTCTTCATAATTGATATTTCTGTTTAGTTCGCATGTTTTAGGGATTACAGTGTTTCACTTTGTTGTTTGTTTGTCCATTCTGCCTGTGTTAACATGAATCATCAAAGCATGCTTACTTCTAATCTTAGCAGTTTCCTTGCATGAAAATTCCTGCTGTTTCCATCGCGATTTGGTTCATGTTAGGGTTTAGTTTAATTTAGGTTTTTTTTCTAGATGCTTAATATTGCAGGATTCAATTGCACTGTTTTGTTGCTTGTTTATTATTTTGATTTGATTTCGGATAATTGCTGGCTTTGTTGATGTTTGCCATGGTTTGTAAATTATTAGACACTTGTAGGGGTAATTGAACAAAAGGAAACTTAAGGCGGTCATTTGAAAGGTGAAAAATAAGGGTTTCAAATAGAGCATCTATAAGCTTCTAGAGTGTGGACAGCTGGCTCTATTTTGCTAATAAAAATTGCTGAAACTAATTAGAAATGGCCAGTTGTCCATTTTCTGTTAGGAAAGATGCTCTTTCTGATTTTTTTAGGGTTTTTAGAAGGGAATGATTCCCTTATCTTGAAGGCACATGTCACATTTCTTTAGCAATATATATGACCCTCCCCTTACTCAATACACACGAAAAAAACAGACCTGAAAAATCTTCTGAAAAAATCCAGCTTTCAGCTTTCCTATTTTCTTTCTCTTTACAAAAGTTTGGAAGAAGTTTCTTTGAATTTCTGGGTTCTTGAGCTGAGATATGAGCTGACACTTAAGTTGTGTGTTGATTTTTACTGCTGTTCTTTGCTACTGATTCTACTGTTTCCTGCTATCACTTGCTGATTTCAGAAAAATATTTTCTTAACTCATTCACTATTTGTATTCAGGTACTTCTTGAATTTTGAATGACAAATGGAGTGCAAGCATGTTTTTTTAAGGATGTACTTATGATATGAAGTTAATATTTAAATGTTGAATTTCAGTTTTTATATATGTTCTTTCAAGTCATTTGACCTTTTAATTTCTTCCTTTTTTAGCTTTTACTTAAATATGCTGGATCTGTCGTGTTAGTCACTAATTTAGTTGGGATATTCATGTGTTAAATGTTTAAAATGGTTATCTTTTCATGTGTTGTTTGAGAGTTCAAGATGATTGATAGTGTCATTAGCTTATTCAATTTGTTCATTAAAAGGGTGTTGGTTAGTATGCTGGCCATGATGCATCATTTAGGTTTGAGGTCCAAGTTCATACACTTTCAAAAGAAATTCATTGTTTAATTGCTAAATGACATTCAGATTTGTTATCTTGGGATTCCAGTATTAATAAAGTGATTATACACTTGATGTTAATGTGATTAATTAGTAGTTTAAGGTAGTTTAAGTTAATACCATTGTTACTAATGGCGTGTTAATAAATTAAAGCCTATAATATGGTTATTCAGCATATTTGATTTCAGAGTTTAATATAATTGTTTTTTTTGGTTATTTGTGTATTTGTAGAGATTGAACTTCAGTTAGGGCCTTAGCATGTTAAAAGCCTTCTTGTTAAAAATAGTTGGGCCTGGTGTTGGCCCAAATGAAGCAGCATGGTCGAAATCACACCTGGCATGGTTTCTGGGCCTTTTCCACTTCTGGGCTCAATTTCGAGCCCAATCAGCACCAGCGATATTGTTCTTTGAGAATTATTGATGAAATAGCATAATAGGCTTACCGCTGGCCCAATCTTTTCC